AGCTCGGTCGCCGACGATTGGAACTGCTCTACGCTGGATGCGTTCAAATGGAAGGAGCTGGCACTGGGGAGCCCCGGCCCAGAGATGGGAACAGTATTCAATGTGCGGCCGAACCTGCGCCTTGTAAAGCGGGCGGTGAGCCGGCATGAAATACTGTCCCGCTCTGCTGAGCACGCCAAGCTTTTTAGTGGCCAATTGGGCCTTCTCTTCCAAGTGACCACGAAACTCACTCTCTACTCGATATGTCGATGCCAACGAATCCGGCATACTACTGGCTGAGGCAACAAGTGGAGTGCCTTGAAACTCAGAAGATACGACGAAAAGGTTCTTTTTTTAGGGTTTCGTATGGTGAGCGTAGAGAACCAGAGATCCTTTTTCTGGGCTGACAAAGAAATCAGAAAGATGTATTCGTGGGTTAGTCCAAGAAGTTGAGCATTTTCGGTGTTACCTGTAATGACAACAAATGAAGATAGACTTCTGTCTATCTCCATTTGTTGTTCTTATGCCCGGTTCACAGTTCGTCCGCAAAACGCGAAGGCCTAAAAAGGCGCGAACATTCTGCGAACGCATAATGTGGATCCGACTCACAACTTTGCACTTCGTTGCTTCGTTCGCTCTGCTTCCCGACCAAAAGCCCGCATCAAAAGAGATTGCTAGTTTCCACAATACCCACCGTTCATAAAATTTCGGTAACATTTGATTATATTTGTATGGATCCAAAAATAATACGAAGATTAGCAACCACCTTATAAAAAATACTTTGATATGCATTCATGTTTCTATAATTTTTTTAAAAACTTTACCCCCCCCCCCACTAGTATTTCTTTGGAATTACAGTAGTAGTTTACATACATAAATTATACACGGATATAGATCCAGACCCGAAACAATTATTTGTGGACTATACCTACTAATAGGTACTAGTTCCGTTTGGGATTCGAACTCGCGGCCCTCACCGCAGCGCCGCAACTTCTTGCTAAACAACTGCGCCACTGAGCTGTCAATATTCATAGTTATATTATAATTACTAATTCAGATACACATTACTCAATTAGGTATTTATTGCTGATAAATAACTCATAATCCACAATTTTTGTTTCTCCGAAGCTCATTCTAATTTATATTTAATATATTCATGATGATTCATAATTAAAGTACCCACATGCGCACAGTGGCGTAGCTACCTAGGAGCTAGGCGGGGCTGTGCCCCGGGGCCCTCAAGCTCAGGGGGCCCTCGAATCCTTACCAGAAAATCTCGATCGAACTGAACTTATGAAAATTTCTCCCATTTCCAAAATAAATATGACAGGTTGCAACCCGACTTTAATCACGGCAATTCAGTTGAGAGATATTCGAAAGTTATACCTAGGGAATTCCCCTAAATTCTTTCTGTGGGTTGGCAGTGTTCTCAATTTGACGGATAGCGATATGTGCATTTTTTATTCATCGATGTGCGTTTTATTGTGAATTCTAGTCACAATTTTTTTTCGAGAACGGTTAAAAATTAATGCTGTATCAGGAGTAAGTAAGCTAATGTCAATAAACTTTTTAGTACTGGTCAATATAGTGGTTCAATTTTATTTGATTTTAGTATCACTCATATTTATGTCCGTTACGTCAATAAATCATGTCAAATCTATAGATTTCGGCTACTCATTGTATAACGCGAAATGTCGTAAAAATATGCAGGTCATCTGCTGTAGGTGCATTAATTCAGGCCCGCGCGCGAGGAGATCGTTCTTGGTCTCCACCGTTAAATGTGGTAACACGGCGATAAAATGTTCGTGTACCGCGTATCATTACGTTTCTCCTTCCTTTTACTTTTAACGTTGTCAGTGAACAGTGAGTACCTACTAGAGCACAATCTAATATAAATATTGCATAAATAAATTAGAAAACTAAAATTATGGACAAGAAGAAGAAACCCAGTGGTGCATTTAAACACAAACAATGCCAAGAAAGAGAAGATAGTAAAACAATTGCCCAAAATTGACAAGTTTTTTAGTCAGCCTTCTGCAAGTACTTCTGGACAAAATATTTCTATTGATAGTGACTGAAATAATGTGGTAACTGCAGTGTTGGTTGAGAAGCCTACTGAAGAAGATTCGAAGATTCGATTCGGCAAGTTTATGATGGAGCCAGTGTGGTAAAGGGTGTGTATAATGGTGTCCAAAAACATATTAAGAATATCCAGCCTAACGCGGAATACGTACATTTGACTCATAATTTAAATTTGGTGATAAATGATGCCGTTAGCAATTGTATGGAAATACAGATTTTTTTCGCAACGCTGCAAGATTTGTATAACTTTTTCGGAAACAGTATCAAACGTTGGGTGGGTTGGGTAAACAGTAACAAATATACTGTCAAAACTCACTGGCGAATCGGACACCAGTCCAAAAAAACTAAATCAGACTAGATGGTCTAGTAGGGTCAATACGATATCTGCAATGAAACTTCGTTTTTTTATATTATCAAAGCATTATCAGAAATAGTTGTAAAGAGTTCTAATAAAGATGAGCGTAGTGAGGCAGAGAGTATTTAAAAAATGCTAATTTTCGAGTTCGTGTTTCTTTGCGAATTCATGCATAGTGTATTGAATGACATCAATTATGCATCCAAAACTTTACGAAAATGCGACATCAATTTGGGCGAGGCAAATAAAACTTTAGCAGAGACCAAAGCAAAGTTGCAAATTTATAGAAGTGATTTCGAATTATTCAAGTGCAGAGCCAGTAGTGAAACTCCAAGAAAATATGGTACAGATACCCATTTTCAAGAAAAAACGTAAAGGAAAGTTAAAAAACATTTTGATGAATTAGCTGCTGATCACTGATTTCCAAACAAAGAAGAAATATTTAAAATTGAGATTTTCAATAATGTACTAAACACATTAATAGCTCAATTAAATACACGTTTTACTGGTGTGAGTGAGTCAGTCAAATATTCGATTTTTCTAACACCAACATTTTTTTACATGTTGATGAAGCAACTTTATTACAAAAGTGTGACGAATTCCAAAGACAATATTCAGATATAATAGGTCCCAGCTTTTCACTTCAATTTATTAATATAAACCAGCTAGTTTTACCTAGTTGTAAGGAAATAGTGAGCAAATATGGAGTGCGAGAACCTGGAATGCGACCTAACGAAAGTATTTACGGCAGTGTTATTATTCTTTACAATTCCTGTCACTTCTGCAGCAGCTGAATGGTCATTTAGCAAATTAAAAATTATAAAAAATTATTTAAGAAATGGTATGGGCCAAACTCGACTCCAACATTTATTGCTAATATCAATTGAAAACAAAACCGCATGTCAAGCCTGGATTTAAACGATGTCATTGATACTTTTGCGAAAACTAAAGCCAGGAATAGATTGTTGATATAATTTTTAAATAGCTAGTTTTTATCTTTTCTATTTCGTTTTATTGCCCAGGTGTATTAATCATAATTTATGTTGTTACTATTTAATATTTTTATTACCTCCACTACAGTGCACAAAAAGAACTAATGTTAAAGTACCTTAGCATTTTTAAAGCATTTATATATTTAATATTTTTATTTAATAAAACCTAACCAGTTTAGATACAGGTGGGGCCCCATTTTTTGATTTGCCCCAGGGCCCTTGGTTACGTAGCTACGCCACTGCACTCGCATCATTAACTACTTCGATATCCATTTCCCTCAAACTTGCAAAGCAATGTGCGAACTTGATGCGAAACCTGAACTGAAAAGGGTGTTTTCTTGCAACTCGAGCACAAGCGACCATTTGAACAAAATATTCATAAAAGTGCAAACAGAGCATTAGCATTATTCTGAAATGTTAGTACTGTTAGTCTTTTGGGGGAGTGTGGACACCGACTTCTGACTACTTAGCCCGTTTCGGTCGATGTTCTGTTTCTGAGTGATGAGAATCGCCCATTGCGGGATTGCAGGTATATGGGTTATTCGGGTGTACGGGGCAGAGGAGATTGCGGAAACTTTGTACAAGCGTCTATCCCTCTCTCTTTCTCTGTCTTTCTCATCTCTCTGTCCGCACTAGGTGAATGAACCCTTCGATTTTGTACGTGTGTTAGGAGATGCTTATATAAAGCTTGCGTCTGCGTTTACTCTGGTATAAATGTAAAATAAAGATTTATGTGTATAATCTCGTGCAGGTATGCGAAGGGTAGGACTAGATCGAGTGACTATCTAGTAAGACATGCAGGATGTGGATGGATACAGGTGGCTCACGACCGTGCTTTGTGGCATTCCATGGCCTCTAGCCTACGTTCAGCATTGGCCACTCGAGATTAATTTAATGAAGCTAGTAGAAGTTTTTGATTTTGAAAAGCAGCTAGTTGTAACGATTAACGATAGCCATCAACTTGTTAAAGTAAAGCTTTTTTACGTTCTTTTAACTACTTATTTAACATTTATTACGATTTGTTACACAGACATAAAATATTTTATGATGTCAAAGACATGACAACATATTTATTCGATTGATAGTAGAATAAAAATACTTTTTTCATACATAATATATATTATAAAAATAAGTATATGAACCTACTATGCTTACTGAATTCTGGCCCATAAGCACCCACATCTATTATCGTTTAAGAATCAAAATGCTGACACCCCAATAGATTAAAATTGTATGCCTCGGAACCAGTAAAAACCTGTAGTTCTTTACACTCACCATACGAAACACATGCATTCAACTATTTTACGCTGATGTTCTGAATGATGGTTCACTGAATAAGTCCGCTCATTTATCGCGAAACCACCTCGTAACTTTCTTGTTCTTTCTATCCCTTGAACCAAATGCTTGACAATGGCCTCCACGTCGTAGGGGGGATTTCCCCTAAAACGGATTTGCTACGAAAACTAGATATGTTAATTTCTTGATATCTAATGTATTTTAAACTTAAGTTTTATTGAAGATTGGATAAAAATTTTAATAATTAAAATAAGATTTAAATTAATGAAACTTTTTCTTGACATTGTATTTTACAGCCTCGGATACCACTGTCCAATCACATATAACCCTACGGACTACTTTATCAAAGTTTTAGCCTTGACTCCGGGCTCAGAGGGCGCATCACGACAGGCTATTAAAAGCATCTGCGACAGGTTTGCAGTCAGTGATGCTGCTAAAGAACTAGACATGGAGATACATCTTGAATTCCATCTGATGGACCATGAAAATGAGGTAAAATGAAAGAAACATCTTTGAAATATCACCTGTTATCTTATAAACGGGAAATTAAAATTAAGTAAATTGAACACGTTAAAATTCGTAAAGGTAGTTTTATTCATAGTGTTCGAGTAAATATAAGAAATCATTAAATCACCTGTTACTTTCTTCTATTAGTTTATTCATACACAGTTAAGTGTAAGTAAATGCTAAGCTATTATTTTCGTAACAAATTGCGGTTATACTTTTTTAAGGAGATAAGGAGAGTCATTAAATGATAATCAATTAAAACAAATTGATGGATGAAATTCTTATAAATCTATTAATGTATTTAATGACGCAGAATGACGACAATTATTATTATAATAATACTACAAATTCTTTTCCTCTTTGGTCTACTAATCTTAAATGCGAGATCCCGGGTTTGAATCCCTGGTAGGGCCAAAATCGGCTTTCTGTCAAGAAATTCTCTGTGGCAACTCGGATTCGGGAAGTTGGCAGTGATCCATCCTAGGGCCTCGAAAAGCATGTAAATAATTGGTCCTGCACCTCATCTTTCTCTCTCTCTCTCTCTCGGTCTCGGTCGTGTCCGATTGGGAATAGGAAATGCATCTGTCCTGGTGACATTATTGTTATTAATACCACAATTTTTTTTGTTGTTAAATTCCAAAATTTTATTGAGAGTCTTGAAAGAAAACAAGAATATCTATGGTAATAATAACTCCAAGTTACAATTAAATAGTGAGTAATAATGGTAAAAATAACTTTTAAACAATTTAATTTTCAAGATATTTTCTATTTGCAGGAATCAAGAAGAATAAAACCGGATAATTTTAAGGCGCCATTTTTCTTAACAAAAATAATGTGGCTTGTGTATCGATATATGCTGGTAATATTAAGAGATCCCCGAGTACAATTGCTACGTATAGTACAAAAATTAGTAAGTAATTTAGTTTTTTAATGCCGTGTGATTGATTGAACAGCGTTACAGAATCATCACCTTTCATCAGAAAAGGATTTAACAATAGTTGACAGACATGGTCAGCAGTTTTATAAGATTTGAGTATGTACGAGTATTATCAAATTTATTTCGTAATATAATCTATATTTAATACAATAAAAACATATATACTTTTGATGTGCAAATGTGATACGTGACGGCTTCATTAACACTTTCACTGTCCGGTTTTCAGAAACAGGTTTTTAGATAGTAAGACAATAGCAATTAACCTATATGTTGTATACGGGACAGCGAAAGGGTTAAGATTGTTGCACGAATAGGTCGGCTCGACCTTGGAAGACCAAGTTCTCACAGAATACAACCGTGAAATTACAGCTTAATGTTACTGTGTTTCGTATGGTGAGTGTAGAGAATCAGAGACCCTTTTTATTAGAAATAAGATTAAATATTTAATAAATTAAGTCTGTGTGATATATTAAAAAGTATTTAATGCTAGAGTGGATAGGCTTTTGTTACGGTAAAACAATGCGATTTACCATCTAGGCCTCAATCAGTACTTTTTGACTTCATTCCTATCCGTTTTTGATTTTTTGCGCTTTATGACTGGCGTATTGCCGCATCAGCTTTTTGATGCGTTAGTTAGTAGTCGACTACTTTGGTTCTATTACAGATATCCTTATTACGAAGTTTTGTAGACCACATCTCAGGTCATCACAGGTGACAAGCACTGGTTGTTCACTCTTGTTTTTAAATTTTGAGGTATACTTGACGAGATATATCGTAATCACCCAAATGTCGCCTAGTCGATTTGGATCTCTGGCTCGGATTTGGACTTACCTAATTCGTAACCCTTACCATTATGTTTTTTTTATATAGAACGAGGGTGACAAAAGAGTGCACAGTCCACCTGATGGTAAGTGGATGCTGTGGTCCATAGAAATCTACATTTAACCTCGATTAAGAATCAAAATGCAGATTCGTTGTCACCCCTAAGGATTAAGATGGAATTACTCGATTTCCAGTAAAACGGGTCTCCGGTTCTCTACACTCACCTTACGAAACACAACAACGTTAGGCTGCTATTTTACACTGGTATTATGTGAGAGCGTGGTCTTACCATAATAAAAAGGACTTCTTTTTATTATGGTCAGAAATATTGTACACATTTGAATGATAAGTTGGTAAGCAGAATAATAAAATTAAGGCAACATTAAGAATACATATAGAAAGATCATATTTATTTATTGCTGCAACTTGCAGAACGCCCATATAACTGTTGAACTGTTGAACACGACACAGGACAAATAAAGTGACAGATTCTTTAACGCCGCCATTACACGGTACCATGATATTACCACATACACAATAAAATGAACAGAACAAATGTTATTAAACTCCACATCGTCTAATTTTCGAACTATTTTCAGGCGATAGCCCTAACTGCAGGGCTGTGCTTTCTCGGCACTGTGCGTCTCACGCAGGCCGGCATTCAAGATGTTCAAGGAGCACTCTTCATCATCATAGCTGAAAACACCTTCAGCCCCATGTACTCAGTGCTCCACATGTTCCCCGAAGAATTTCCTTTGCTCACTCGGGAACTTAAAGCGGGCTTGTATTCCACACCGATTTATTATATAGCAAGGATGATTGCTCTGGTGAGGAATTATTTGAGTTTTGTAATTAATTATAATATTCATTTTTTATAGAATAAGGTTGACAAACGAGCACACAGCCCACCTGACGGGAAGTGGATGCTGTGACCCATAGACATCTACATTTATCCTCGATTAAGAATCAAAACACAGATGCGATGTCAGTTGTCACCCCTGAGGACTAAGATGGAATGCCTCATTTTCAGTAAAAAAGGATCTCCAGGTCTCTATACTCACCATACAAAACACAGCAGTATTTAGCTGCTATTTAAAGCTGGTATTCCCTGGTCGAGCCGACCCATTCGTGCTACAACCATAATATATAGCTGCACCGTGGTTCAACCACGTATATAATTATGCAGAGGTATAGTTTCAGTTACCTAATGTTTGTTAGTAGGCCTGTATTGTAACTGTGCCTCGTTGTGGCGTGGTGTTGGCGTTAGAAAATCTGTCACCACATTTCGCCTCGTGTGGAAAATGCCAGAAAAATCTTATCACTTTACTTCTACTTCTTAATTTAAGACATAAAGTACTCAGACTCAGACCGACGAAGGACAGTGGCTTCAAAATGACAAGTGGCTACTGCACTCCGTGGAAACCTGCAGCCAAACTTAAACAATGATTTTAATAAAGTTTAAAAGTTTAATATTTAAAAAATGTTTGTTTAAAGTAGAACTTTGTTTAAAGTTGCTAAAATAAAAAGTAGAACTATTTATTAAAAGTTTCATTATTTTACCCTTTTGAGTGGTTTAAGGAATATCACCAGTTTAATGTAATAACCAGAATGTCACTTAAATATGTAAATTTATTTAAGGGAAATTCTAGTGGCAGGGATATTTCTCTTTTATATATGGATTCGTCCCTGTTGTAAAACCTATTTAATAAAAAATAATCATTTAATTCGGTTAAGCCGCTTACGAGAAATTGATATATAATACTCAAAAACATACGGCTCGAATATAAAACCTCGTTTTTTTATAAACTTGGTTAAGATTTTATTATGTCGTAAATTTCCCAAATTTAGTGAACTAGTTAGTTACCTGCTCTCAACGAGCAACAACCCCGAAATATATTAAATAAAAGAAAGTGAAAGATTAAAACCGGTTTTTTGTAGTTGGCTTTTAGTTTAAAACCTTATTCTTGTTGATTGTTTTGCTGCTATAGTTCTTTTTTAGTTTTTGTAATTGGTTGTTTTTGAAATTAAAAGTGTAATATATCAATTTATATTGTGGGGTAACTCATTATCTTTTCTCTATATTTGGATTGTTTATTATTAAATTGAACTATCCCTACCATACATGGCAGTAAATAGATAGTAATGATGCTTATTATGTTAATAAGTTACTTTACGTAATTTATTAATAATTTTCTTATTTAGAAACATTAGTTTCTTGTGAAGAATGAAGGTAACAAACGAGCATACGATGGGACTACCTGATGGTAAAAATAACGTTGTAAAAAAGAATATAAGAACCCTTTAAAAAAAAGAATATACTAACGCTATTGGTAGTTTCGAACCCACGACTTTCCGAGTGACAGTCCGTATCCTCAATCATTAGGCTACTAATAACCTGCAACTATCCTTGATTAGAAATTAAATCGTAGATTCGTTGTCAACCCTGAGATAGAAAGCTTCGTTACAATACAAGTAAAAGTAAAATACAATTTGTATACTTTCACCATTTGATGTAAATGATTTAATATAGTAGAATGATCACAGCCAACTGCTCTGCTAAATAGCTTGAAGTAAGTTTCCTGTAATTTTTTAAACAACACAATCTTAGCTTTCTATCCGACAGAATTTGGCGAAATTGGGCGGAATAACCTAAACGTAACTTGTAATGTCCATAATTGATTACAATTAATTTCTTTCATTTTTAGGCGGTACATAAAGATTGCGTTTAAATCTCTACTCATTGAGTTACCAGTAACTTACATGTAATACGAATTTCTTGATCTAAAATCGCCGGTATTCCAATACATTCTTACGAAAATAAACTCACTGAATGTAAAGTGACAATGATATATCATATTCATGGCCCCAAAAAAAGAAAAAACCAAAAAAACTCCATAAAAATGAAAAGGCTAAAATTAAAAAAAATGGCAAACTCCCATAAAATTTTCTTTTCTTGCGTCTACAAATGAAAAATATGCAAAAAATAGAGTTTGAAATTTGATACTTAAGCTTATAGTACAACACACCAAAAAAACTTGTTCGGTATTCAGATCTAAATTGAATTTAATTTCATTAACATACACATACGAGTACATAAATGTAAATAAACAGATATGCAAATAAATAAATTATAATATTGATAAGATGTTAATTGATATATCACTTAACGTTCATTCTAAAAATCATTCATTTAAAATTCATTCATTTTATGCTGTCTAAATGTTTTCATATTAATTCTATAAAACGTTATAATGTAAATTAGTGTTTAATAAAAGTCCCGGAGGGTTTCTTGCTCGTTCTTCGGAGGTCTTTTCAGAACTCGTTCCGAAGATTATTCCGGACCGATACGACTTAGGGACCTTAAGAAAAGAGTCTACTCATTTTTAAAAGGCCGGCAATAAATTTGCAATGCCCCTGGTGTTGTAGTTGCTCGTGGGCGGTGATAGTCACTTACCGTCATGTGAGCCGCATGCTCGTTTGCCCCTCTCTACCTCTACTATATATATAAAAAAAATTATTTAAACATCATCGAGATTCTGATATTCCTTAGTTCACAAAAGGGTAAAAAAAATAAGTTTTAATAAAATTAAAATGGAAAAAACACATTCTGAAGTCGGTGTTTTAATTCTCATCCTATAAATATCAAAGAAAGCAAATTTTAAACACGGGTTTATTTTTATTTTAGCTTAAGTAGAACTGCATTGATAGAATCTTGATATCTGTATAGGAGGGTAATCAAACCTATCTATACGTAATTTCGTAGTAGGTACGTAAGCAACTCAAATTAGATCGCCCATGGACTTATATATTTCGCACCGACTCCACTCATATTTAACCGCAATTTGAAAGTACGATTTACCACGTTCTCGGTGATAAAGAAAAACATCGCAAGGAAACCTGCATATCTGAGAATTTAAAAAAAATATTTCGGAAATCATTTTTAGGTATGGATATGTGGAGTCAACTTAATCAACTCCTTTTTGACCTAAAACTCGCTGTTGCCTGTACTTAGGCTTGTGTTAGGCTGTATTTAGGCTGCTACTTTTTTACTTTTAATAGGCTATTCACTGCTGATCATAGGCTTCCCCCATTGTATGTCAAATAGACCAGATTTTTACAGTATTGGTACTTGACAGTTGGGATGGCAATCGCAACTTTTTATTACTTTGCGCCTATTATCAGGAAATGCTGCTGCCATCCATCTCCTGGTCCTCAGTTTTCTTCTGTCGCCTCCTACGACACTCACGAACAATACAAATAAATTTTGAAGTCTACGCGAACATAAAAATATACTGAAATGTATATTATGATGCCATGTGTAGTAATGAAGAGCATCGAATCCATCATTATTTTGTCAAAACTATATCAAGTTTAATTATGAATGTTATGTAAATAATGCATTTCTCAATCCAGGGCAATTTACCCTTTATAAAGACACATCAAAAAAACATGCCCGATATAAAAAAAAGGTGTCGCGAGACGTATTGCTGTATTGATATTAATGTTATTCTGATAAAATAACTTATGCGTTTCTGAAGCATATATCCGAATTTCAATCATTTATGTCCAATATAGACGGTATTAACGATGTTTCCAAATGAAAACCCACGCGAGCGAAGACGCGTGTAAAAAGCTAGTAGGTAATATATTAAGAAAAAATTGCTGATAAGCTTTGGCAATACTTAGGATAATACTTAGAAAAATTAAGTTAAAAAAAACTAACTATACTGACAATATGTACTAAAATCGACTAAAACATTTACTATAAGTCAACTGTCAAAATGGCGTCGATAAAGCGGAGCCCTTTTGACCCTTTACTAAATAATAATAACATATTGTTGCGCGAATAAGTCGACATCATGTATCAGCATTAGCGCCATCTAGTGTCAGGAACGAGAGCGAAGGGAGCTTTCCAGAAAATGACATCACTAATCTTTCAACCGACAGCGCCATCTAGTCTCGGAACGAAGAACTAAGCTTCTAGAAGCTGACGCTCGAACTCTCGGCCCCTTGCGCGTGTTTACTTGAATATTCTGGATGTTTCGGTGCTAATTTGTTTTATAGGCGCTGCAAGATGCGATCGGGGAAGTATTGAATTTGGCGAGACAAGCGAAGCTTCGGAGTGAAATAAAGTGAATCAGTGTGATTAATTTTTAGTGTTTTAAGTTTTAATTGGTGTAAAGAAAATTAAAGTGTTAATTTAGGTAATTCTATCGGCAATTTTTATTGTCACGAACCTCAAGCTCGTAACAATTGGTGTCAGAAGTGGGATAAAATCATGCCGATTTTACCTAAGGAGGAAACGGAGGGTGTCCGTACCCGAAGTCAACGCCAGCAGGAGACGGACCAAAGAAGATTTGGTGGTGCAACGCCGCAGACGTCGGAGGGCCAGCCGCCGGCTGCAGGCCCGTCAGTAGCTCCTACATCTGCAGCACCTGACTTAGGTGCTCTGATGGTGGTGCTGCAGGAGCAGGCTCGCCGACAGGAGGAACAGGTCCGTCAGTGGAAAGAGCAGCAGGAGGAACAGGTCCGTCGGCTGGAAGAGCAGCTGCGGGGCGGACAGGATGAACAGGCCCGCCGACAACAGGAACAGGCCCGTCGGTCGGAAGAGCAGATGCTCCTCATGAAGGACCTTCACGCTACGTTCGGAAAAGAGATAAGGGAGGTTAAGGATAAGGTTGCTCAACATGACAACCGCCTGTCGGAAGCTGAAACCCGAATCGACCAAGTAAACAATCGGGTTGACAACGTGATGGCTGACGTGAAGAAAACGCTGAACGACCTCAAACTTAGGGATGGAACTACAGCTCCCGTAGTAGCTACAGCACCTTCGCTACGAGGTTTCAAAGTGCCACCGTTCGACGGGACTTCTTCCTGGTCAGCCTACAAAATCCAGTTCGAGACTGTTATGAAGGCGAACGGCTGGAATAAAAGTCAGGCCATGACTGCTCTCACACTAGGCCTGCGCGACCAGGCCTTAACAGTTCTGGAAGCTCTCGGGGAGGAAGTGACTTATGAGCAACTCCTTGAGGCATTGGAGGCGAGATATGGCGACGCTCACCTGGAACACGTCTTTCGTGCGCAACTTAAAGATCGCGTGCAGCGCATCAACGAAAAGGCGCGAAAAGCATACCAGTCTGTACCTGCGCTCATTGAAGGGAACCTGGTGCAGACATTCATCGACGGCATCCGCGACCTTGAAGTCAGAGCTGCTGTGAGGCTCGGGCACCACGAGACGCTTAAGGACGCCTTGGCCCATGCACTGGAGGTTGAAGCCGTGCGGCAGGATCTTCGTTCCCATCGCGTTAGGGAGGTTGCAGCAGCTACAGTTCGCGACCGCAATAATGGATACAGCCCTGGTGCTATGGCTATGTGGAAAGGGGCCATCTTAACCCTGCCGCGAACGTAGAAAGGAAGCACCGAGAGGGTACCTGGGGCCTCCCCCCCAGGGAGGTGCAGAGGTTCGCGACCACAATAAAGGATACAGCCCTAGGTGCTATGGCTGTGGGGAAAGGGGCCATCTTCGATCCAGCTGCCCTAAGTGAACCCTAGAAAGGGAAGGTGAACGATCTCAGAAGGGAAGTGCGGCTAACATCACCGCCCAGCAGCAGCCGGGATACGACTTTACTATCAGACATCGCAGCGGGAAATCTCATGGCAACGCAGATGCATTGTCAAGAAGACCTTGTCCTGAAGATTGTAAATATTGTACTAGGCAAGAGAATAAGGAAGTGGTATCCGTGAGGATGCTCAGGACAGACCACCTCAGCAACGAGTGGAAGGACAGCTTACAACGTGCACAGCAGGAAAATCCGGACATCAAGCCGATTCTGGAATGGATGAAGGCCAGTGCTCCCAAGCCCAAGTGGAGCGACGTCTCAGCGATGAGTTCGACCACTAAAAGCTATTGGGCCCAGTGGGACAGCTTGCTGCTTCAGGATGGAGTTCTGTGCCGTAAATGGGAAAATGTTTGGGGAGACAGCTATCATTTGCAAATGGTCGTCCCTAAAGCTAGAGTACCGGATGTTCTACAGCTGTACCATAATGAGTGTTCAGGGCACACACAGTTCAACGGTTTTACTGGGTACACTGTCGAAACGATGTCGAGGACTGGTGTCGCAAATGTACAAGTTGTGCGGCTGTAAAGGGACCTCAGACTCGTAGTAGAGGTGCATTGAAGTTGTACAATGTTGGTGCACCATGGGAGAGAATAGCCTTTGACGTGGCGGGGCCGTTTCCGGAGAGTGAAAACGGTAACAAGTATTTCATGGTTGTGATGGATTACTTCACTAAGTGGCCGGAAGTCTTCGCCATTCCAAATCAAGAAGCTTCAACAGTTGCAGATAAACTAGTTCATGAAGTCTTCTGTCGTTTTGGAGTACCTTTAGAGATTCACAGCGATCAAGGAAGGAATTTTGAGTCTCAAATATTCCAGGAAACTTGCCGAGTTATGGGTACTCATAAAACAAGAACGACTTCTTATCAACCGTAATCTGATGGAATGGTAGAACGATTTAATCAGACATTGGAGAGGTACCTAGCAAAAGTTGTAGACAATCGGCAACGAGATTGGGACAAGCACATACAAGCGTTTTTGTTGTCATATCGAAGCGGTGTTCACGAAAGTACATCCGTGACACCAGCTTTCCAAATTTTGGAAGAGAATTACGGCTGCCTGCAGACCTGATCACCGGGATACCACCTGATGCCCCACGTAGTATAACCGATTATGCAAATGACTTGCGGGACAAAATGAATGACATTTATGAGCACGTCAGACAATCGGGCCAGCAAATGTCTGAGAAGATGAAAACCCGGTACGACCGCAAAATGAACAATAAAGGCTTCGACGAAGGTTCACTAGTGTGGTTGCACAATCCAGTCCGCAGCAAAGGGAAATCTCCTAAGCTTCAAGCTAAATGGGGCGGCCCGTACCGGATTGTAACCAGGATCAACGATGTAACCTACCGGATACAGAAAGGTGCAGAGGGACTCCTAAGATCGTCCATGTGGATCGCTTGGCGCGTTATTATGGGGCCGATAATGCTCGGGAAGAGCATGTCTTAGGAGGGGGCAGTGTTGCGCGAATAAGTCGACGTCATGTATCCGGCATTAGCGCCATCTAGTGTCAGGAACGAGAGCAAGGGGAGCTTTCCAGAAAATGACATCACTAATCTTTCAACCGACAGCGCCATCTAGTCTCGGATCGAAGAACTAAGCTTCTAGAAGCTGACGCTCGAACTCTCGGCCCCTTGCGCGTGTTTACTTGAATATTCTGGATGTTTCGGTGCTAATTTGTATTTATAGGCGCTGCAAGATGCGGTCGGGGAAGTATTGAATTTGGCGAGACAAGCGAAGCTTCGGAGTGAAATAAAGTGAATCAGTGTGATTAATTTTTAGTGTTTTAAGTTTTAATTGGTGTAAAGAAAATTAAAGTGTTAATTTAGGTAATTCTATCGGCAATTTTTATTGTCACGAACCTCAAGATCGTAACAATATCTATGCAAACAAAGCTGTAGTTTGTGAGTTATAAGTGATCATATTAACCGGATGACCATAATATTACCCTCACGTACTATATAACTTTTAATTAAAAGTTAATTTTGACAAATCTTGACAATTCTCTTTACCGTGTAGTGGCAGTGTAAGAATATCTACTGCCTCATACCATTCCTTGGGTGTCATAAGGAGGAACTGAGGGACAGGGCTTTCACCTTAAATTTGATTCAACGCGAGCAACTTAAGTTAGTTTCCCGATGCTGACTAATAATTTTTTTCTTCTTATTTATTTGAACAGAAGCAGTCAACTTCTAGATATAAGTATCACATTAGCCGTAATGATTATAATATATGTTGCTGGAGTGCGGAATATTGGTACTGCGACTACCTATTACCATACTAACCAGTTGCAAAATAGCCCCCAGCACCTAAATTTGGATCAGAGCAATGCCTTACAATGGATATTTTACAAGCCGAAAATGAAGTTATATCACGTATTTATAACGAATTTCACTTCCAGTTCCCAGGTCTGGTGATAGAGCCGACGCTGTTCACGCTTGTCGTGTACTACATAGCGGGTCTGCGAGCCACAGTCTTCGCGTTTAGCTTCACAGTCTTGCTGGCAATTGCCGTACTTAATGTTGCCATTGCATGTGGTAAGTGCGATGTTTGCTCATTTGTGGATACACATTGCACCGTAAAAACCTAGCTGTTTGTAATAATTTTGCATATGGACGCTCACATACTTCTTTCCCCCACGTAGCCTGCCACTTTTCAAGCATATTCCACACCTATAAAACGGTTGGACGAAAAATATACTGAACACCGCGATCGTATGTAGGAAACGTTATATCAGTGAAGAATACACCTGTGATCTCGCACTAAATTATTGTTGAGTGTTCGTGAAGTGCGATTAACTGCTTGACTCGTTCATGTGCCGATTGGTAATGTAATATCGTTTTGCCTACAGTTATCCTTTTGTATTTTTCTTTTCCTTTCTTTCACTTTCATATGTATACACATTTAATAAACTTACTTAATACTGATATTCTATTTTATTATATGTGAAAAATCGAATGATTGATGAATGAAAATAATTTAATATATCACATTAATTATTTTTATTCTCATCGGCTCGTATTTTATTGTACCTACTTAAATGAAAAAGCATTTAACCAAAATAATAAAAAATACGTTTATTAATCCGCTGCTAAGCGTGGCAAATATCGCAAATACACCCCTATGACAACCTATAAGGGCAGCAATGGAATTTAGTAAGGCTGTAAGGATGGAAAAAAAGAAAACGCATAATTTAAATTAGTAATATTAATCTTTTTTAGTTTAAGAAAAAAGTTGTAAAGTATTTCTGCTTTATTATAGTAATTTCATTAGCATTTGACAGATTTTTCAAGTTCAAAGGTAAAGAGGAGAGGTCTTTGCTCAGCTATGGTTGCTACTTTTGGTTTAAGTTTCTAAGTGACATTTGAAAAAATATTGTCATTATTGTTGTACCATTTCAAGACCAGGTAGAAAATATAAGGGTTGATTCCAACTATTATACTTTATTTCACTTTCTACAATACTATCTCGAGTCCAGGTAGGAAACAAACGGTAGATTCAAACTATTACACTTTGGTTCACTTTACAATTTAAACTTATACAAAATTCAACTTCACTTCACGTCTTACTGCGACGATTTGCGTTGAGCTAATGCCACTCTCCATTTTACTAATCAACCTTTAGCACTTGTTAGCAAGGTGGGGCGGCGTCATTTCCGCCCCACTCTTTTACAGCAATCAAAACATTATCCTTCCGGTTACATCATATTACTCTATCCATTATCCGCAATCATTAATGTAAGTAACTAATAATTATTATAATATAAAGTCAAATCACTTATCGAGTAATTCCGTTATAAACAATAATATAGTGGTTATTAATCTAACAATAGCAATTATTAACCTAACAGCTCGGCCATCCTACTCAAAGCGAGTCCCATCGCTTCTACACTTAAAAAAAAAACCCCGCAAGTATAAAAGAAAGTAATTACATTTAACATATCCTAAACTAGACTAAGCATGATAGATATAAATACAATATTAATCAAAATAATAAAATCAAAATTTAAAATTGACCTTCCGTCATAAAATCTATAATTGGTATTAAATGCACAGTTATCTTTTTTTATGTTTGTATAATATAACCAATGAATATCTAATTTTAACTATTCAGTGTCAACTGTATTATTATCAGTTGAATCAGACTCAAAATCTCTATTGAAATTCATCCACGGATGAATTTTGTCAATTGACACTATAGCTTCATATTTTCTACTGTTTTTACGGGTAAGCGGCGTATCTTCAACTAGAAATCTGTCATTTGGTAGCACTTTTACTATGCGATACGGGCCTTGAAATTTAATTACAAGTTTTTGTGATTTTCCGTCGTGTGGGACTTGCTTTTCTAAACGTATTAAGTCACCTTCATTGTATTTAGTTGCGGGCTTTCTACGTTCATTAAATCTTTTTGCATCTTCAATTTGTTGTGCTTTAATTTTTGTACTAGCATCTTGCCTAAGTTCGTCTAACTTTTCTAATGGAGTTCCATTTAATGTGTCATTGATAACAGAGCTTAGGATGCCTTCTGATTTACCGGTTATATTAAATCCAAAAAGTAACTCAGATGGGGACCTTTGTGTAGTTTTATGCTTAGTTGTATTTATACCGACTTGAATATCCTGTACATAATTGTCCCAAGATTTATCGTCTTTACCATGTCCAGATGCCGATAAAGCATCTAAAATGGTCCTATTAAAACGTTCTACTTGACCGTTAGCTCTTGGAGTAGCAACGGCATTTGTGATGTGTTTGATACCATAAGACATAATAAAATCCTGAAAAATTTTACTCGTGAAGCTAGTTCCCTTATCGGTGATCAGTCTCGTGGGTACGCCGAAGTAACTTATGTGGTTTTTAATAACTTGTATGCTTGTCACGGACTTTGTATTCTTAACAGGAGTAATGTTAATATATTTTGTAAAGCCATCAATCAAAACTAACAAATAGCTATTCCCTTTCTTACTTTTCACAAAGGGTCCTAAGTGATCTGCGTGGACTGTGTGGAAGGGAATACTGACCTTATTTATTGTATGTAACTCTCCTTCACGTTTTCCTCCCGGCGCTTTGTGATGTGCGCACTCGAGACAAGACGTCACATATTTTTTTACAAAGCGGCGCATTTTAGCGAACCAATAATGTTCTTGGATTCGTTTCAATGTTTTTTCAAAACCACAATGCCTGATGTCGTCGTGGTTCATTTTGAGTATTTGCCAACGTACTCCCTTAGGTACTACCCATCTTAGTGAATCGCCAACAATTCGATAGACGCGCTCATTTTTAAGTTTGTAGTTTTTAATTATGTCTACATATTGGTCTGCCTTGGAGTCCGTTAATATGTGCTTTATTTTCTTTATTTCGTCATCAGCAGATTGCACGGTAACTATCCAGTCCGAATGACTTTGCTGTATCGCCAACACATCCCATATTAGCCGGTCATCTGCAATACCTTCAGACGAACAGTCCACCGGGTTTCTACTAAGCGCATCTGCATGAGACATTCGGGCGCCTGGTCGATATTCAATCGTGCAGTCGTATTCTTGTAGCTGGATCCACCAGCGCGCAATACGAGCTACTAAATCTCGTTTAGTCAGAGTGGATCTAAGGGCGTTACAATCAGTTACAATTTTAAAGTGTATTCCTATAAGATAGACTCTAAAGCGATTCAATGACGCAACCACTGCTAAAGTTTCGAGTTCGAATGAGTGAAGTTGACGCTCGTGTGCATTTGTTTTCCTACTAAAATAAGATATGGGCTGTAATGTGTTCTTTGAATTTCGCTGCAGTAATATTCCTGCCACACCTTCCTTACTTGCGTCTGTGTGAAGTTCTGTTTCTGCACAAGGGTCATAAAGAGCTAGCAATGGGCGGTTGACTAGTATTTCCTTAATTTTTAAAAAGGACTCTTCTTGGCTTGGTCCCCATGTCCAGCAAGAGTCCTTCTTTAAAAGGCTAGTCAATGATGCCGTGATTGTAGCATAACCTTTGATAAAACGCCTAAAAAATCCAGATAACCCAAGGAACTGTCTTAATTCATGTTGGTTGCGAGGTTTCGGAAATTTTGAGACAGCGTCTGTTTTCCTACTGCCTGGGCGGATTCCATTAGCACTTACTTCAAATCCTAAAAAGTCAATAGTTTCATAGAAGAAATTGCATTTACTTAACTTGAGGGTTAGACCTCCTCTCTTCAAGAGTTTGAGTACTTCTTCTAGTCTAACAATGCCTTCGTCAAAGGTTTTAGACGGGATAAGCACATCATCCATGTATACAATGGCATACTTGATTTTAGCCTCCATAAGTATTTTGTTGATGGTGCGTTGAAACACAGATGGTGCATTTACCAACCCAAACGGCATACGATTAAATTCATACTGCCCATCGGGCGTTACAAAAGCAGTCTTGCTTCGAGATTCTTCAGAAATTGGTATCTGGTAATAGCCAGAAGCCAAATCCAATGATGTAAATAAAGTATTACCTGCTAGTAAATCTAATTGATCTTCGATTCGAGGTAATGGATAATGAGTTTTCTTCGTCTTTCTGTTAAGAGCCCTGTAGTCGACACATAGCCGTTTCTCACCAGTCTTCTTTTGTACCAATACAATTGGGCTGGCATAGGGCGATGAAGACTCTCTTATGATTCCACTGTCGGCCATCTCTTTTATCATGTCCCTTACTAGTTGTCGCTCAGTATAAGACATGCGGTAGGGACGGTAAACGACTGGTTCAGAGTTTTCCAACTCAATTACCATTTCTGTAGCATTTGTAAACCCGAGATCATAAAGTCCATTTGAGAAACATTCTTTGTATTTCGAAAGTAATCTCTGTAACTCAAGTGTTTGTTCATTAGTAAGTTGAGAACTACAGTTAATTGTTTCATCTATTCCAGTTGAATCAAGGGTGACTTTATACGAATCCAATACGTGAGTTGTAGAACCCGTAGGCATTAAATGTTTCTGTAGGGCACGTGTTAAAAGTGAATTCTTTCCTATGCATATATCATTTGTTGATATATTACATATTAAGAGAACACCTCGACCATTCTTGATTTCGTATTCTCCAGGTAGAATATAAAACTCTTTTCCAGCTGAACCACGTAGCGATCCGATAACGCAAATGTTACAATCAATGTCCGTATTGGCACATACTTCCACCGTTTGCAATGCATTACTAGGAATATTGGCGATGTTTTCAGTTAATAAACGAATTTTGTTATGAGTTATCCTTTGGAAGATCAATTTACTAGGAGTTTTGATAATCAAAATATCAGATTTTTCTGTAAATGAGTGCCCCAACAAAACTGGGTGATTAAGAACGTAATCGTCAACTATGTAAAGCTCTATATCCTCCGTTAAGCCTTGCACTGTTACGGAGGCTAGCGCTACGCCTAATGGTCTTACTAAGTTAGACCCTATCCCTTCTAGTACAGGCAACTTAGTTTGGGAATTAATGTCGAGTCCCATAGTTTCTGCATCACTTAACCTAACTAAAGAACATTGACTCCCCAAGTCAACGTAACAGGTTGTAGAAAATCCGTTAACTTTTATGTTGATTATATATTTATCACAGGGGCAAACACCTAAAGTTACTTTCGATACGTGTTTCTCACATTTAGAATTACTAGAAGTTTGACTATTCCTGTTATATCCCGGCTCAGATGCTAATTTCTTTCTAAAACAATCGTTAGATTTATGACCTAATCTTTCACAAACTGTGCATTTTGTAAGAGGCGTATCGCGCCTAAAGCTAGGATGCTCTATATCGCTACAGTTAAAACACCTAATATTATTATTGAATGAGTCAGATTTAGACGACCCGGGTCTGTTTGACGCTAGCGTAACCTTACGATCACTATGATTTTGTATTGGTGCGTCGAACGCGCTGCTTGTTTTGACAGTCTTAAAATATTTAAGAACCTGCTCAGGCTCCGAGAAATGGGCGGCCTGAGCCCCGACTTTTGTAGCACAATTCTCAACACCGTAAAGAAGGCAGTCCACAGCTTGTCTACCGAAAATTTTATAGCGATTTAATAAATAGATCTTTGCATAGTAGTAGTGCTCCAATGACTTGCCGTATTTTACTTATTTAGATAATATTTCAGTCAGAAGCTCGGCATAGTCTTCGCGACAGGGCAATGATTCTATCAAGTTCTTTTTCCACTCGGGTCATGTATACAATAGTGGAGGCAAACCATGAAACTAGGTCTTGGCAATACCACTAAGCTTAGGTAATGAATAATGAATAATTTCTTTTTCATCCCAGTTATAAATTTCCGCGCACCCTTCTACTTTGTTTATCCAAGTTAAAATAGTTTGCTCTTTCGACAAAGGGTCAAATTCCGGTATGACGTTAGTGTTGAAAACAAGTTAAGGCCTATCCGATAATATTAGTACCTGGTTCCTTACTTATACTCCTTTGCCGCTGACACCTAGTATGCTGTGAGGCGCCATCCTCCGAAGATGTCAAATGATCGCGCTTCCTCTTACTCTTCGATGCCAATCTATGGTGAGTTGACCGTTTACCCCTTTTCTTTCTTCCATCATTTCCATCCTCACTACCAGACTCATTAGTCTGATACCATGTTTGGACTCCCTTCCTTGGTCGTCCTTCCTCATCCTTGGAAAATTCCTGCTCTATCCTCGAGCAGGGAGTTTTCTGTATCAATACCGGGCTGAAATTCCGTCCTTGCACCTCTATCCTGGGCGCTCCTTGATTAGAAAGATGCGCCAGTCCTTCTCCTTGACTGGTCGCATCATCAAGTCCTTGATTAGATAGATGCGCCAGTCCTTCACCTCGACTGGTCACATCATCAACTCCTTGATTAGATAGATGCGCCAGTCCTTCACCTCGACTGGTCGCATCATCAACCCCTTGATTAGATAGATGCGTCAGTCCTTCCCCTCGACTGGTCGCATCATCACTAATCTCATTCAACCCTTTTCCTCGTGTCATTCGTCCTTGCTCTTGTTCTTGAGCAAACTATCCTTGGTGCTCCTTGATTAAATAGATGCGCCAGTCCTTCCCCTCGACTGATCGCATCATCACTAATCTCATTCAACCCTTACCTCGGGTCATCCGTCCTTGGTCTTGTCCTTGAGCAAAATATCCTGGGTGCTCCTTGATTAGATAGATGCGCCAGTCCTTCCCCTCGACTGATCGCATCATCACTAATCTCATTCAACCCTTACCTCGGGTCATCCGTCCTTGCTCTTGTCCTTGAGCAAATTCATCATCCATAATAGCTCCGATTATCTGAAACTTACAGGTATAAGCTTAGAACTTGTCCAGAGATTTTCTTTTAAAGTACATAGCAAATTATTTCTATAATTAGAACCTGACCTTCATTGTAAAAGTTGCACCGTAAATAGTTAAGCTGTGTAGGTTATTTTTTTATCATTATATTTATTATTGGTACAGATTCATCATACTGCAATAGTTATAACATTAACAAATTTATTTCGTTTTCATAATGTCGTGTATTATCAAAAGAAACAGAGTTGCATTATCAGTATTACGTTTTTTTTTTTTCACGACTTATACGAAAAAGACGGTAGAATAATAAAAAAAAATAATCGTATAAATGATCTATTTCATTATTCCTCAAACTTTAAAATCAACAATTACAGTTATACTTAGTAGGAAAATATGCGAAATATCAATTTATATACACGAAAAATACTTACATTATTCGATCGGTGCACGTGGCAACATAATTAAATATGTATCTTGTTTATCCCACTTCTGAACTGTTGTACCATTTCAAGACCAGGTAGAAAATATAAGGGTTGATTCCAACTATTATACTTTATTTCACTTTCTACAATACTATCTCGAGTCCAGGTAGGAAACAAACGGTAGATTCAAACTATTACACTTTGGTTCACTTTACAATTTAAACTTATACAAAATTCAACTTCACTTCACGTCTTACTGCGACGATTTGCGTTGAGCTAATGCCACTCTCCATTTTACTAATCAACCTTTAGCACTTGTTAGCAAGGTGGGGCGGCGTCATTTCCGCCCCACTCTTTTACAGCAATCAAAACATTATCCTTCCGGTTACATCATATTACTCTATCCATTATCCGCAATCATTAATGTAAGTAACTAATAATTATTATAATATAAAGTCAAATCACTTATCGAGTAATTCCGTTATAAACAATAATATAGTGGTTATTAATCTAACAATAGCAATTATTAACCTAACATTATGAATGTAAAATGTTTTTTGGAAAAGCTATAATTTTTTTTAAAACAAAATAAAAATAAAATATTTTTAATTGCTATAATTGCAGGGTGTAACCGTGAAGTTATTTGCTGGCGGGAATCACTTTCCAGCTGCGATATGTTTTTCCATTATGATAATTTCGTGTAACAATAAGATAGTAATATTAAAGAAGTCATCGGCTTATAATCTACGTGGTAGGATTTCTTTTTCTGTCCAGGAGACCGTTTGGGTAGGGACCCGTTTTGCACCTATACTTGCCGTCAAGTACATTTGCCGCTCTAAAGAGTAAAGAGAGCCAGTATACTCAACGAGAATTAGTCGTAATTACAGGCTGTGAGGTAATTCATCTTAGACCTCAGAGGAGACAACGAAACTGTAGCGTTCTTTATTTGAGGTCGGGTGTAGCTGTTTCATGTGCTTCAGTTGCCAATTACCATCAGGTGGACTACTAGTACATTGTCACTTCAATTTCATAAAAATAATCGACACCATATATTTACACAATTCAACATATAACACATGTCAAACGTTAAAATGAAGCTAACCCCGATTCCCACTATAATAAATTACACAATCGCACTGCTGGGTTGTTGTTTTGACCCATGTGTTGCCGTAAATTTATACAGTAACATCCAATTTTAGTGAAAACGAGGAATTCCAACTAATTTCTAAGGAGCAACAAAGCATCTAAATTTTGTCATGGATACTCTATGGACCACAGCATCCACTTACCATCAGTTGGACTATGAACTAGATTCCCTCTGTCACCCTTAATCTATTAATTTAATTTTTTTCTTTATATATTAGTTTTATTCAACACTTATTCAATATTAAAAAAAATTTAAACATCGTTTCACATTGAATGAATTACGTTGTTTTCCAGGTTCCTTCTTCTCGTGCGCGTTCGGCTCAATGCCTATTGCTATCGCTTACCTCGTGCCGTTTGACTACTCGTTAATGTTGACGTCTGGACTATTCGTCAAATTAAGGTATTTTTATCAATTAAACGTATCTAAGTAAGTAGTAAGTAGGGGGATGAGTCGCTCGCGTCCGTAGGCTCCGACCACCTAACCTTAGGCCCACCCTACACGTGTCCCCCGGGTGGTGCTAAACGAGCGACAAAGCCGAAAAAATAGACTCGGCTCCTCGCCGTATGGTAGCGGCGTAAAATCTACCACCACCCCTTGTTCGAATGACTCAGGAAATAAAAGAAATGGCCCCGAGTTCCCGGCGCCCCTTAAATGGGGCAGGGGTGCGAAGAATCTCCGGGAGAAAAACCGGCGACGAGGTTCGCCACCCGTCACGTTCTGTCTCCCGGAGGGGCGAAAAGTGGATTGCGGAAACCCGTCTGGCTACGCTGAATGTATGTGGAGGAATGAATGATAAGATGGATGAAGTATGCGAAATGATGAATGACAGAGGAATAGATGTGTTATGTGTGAATGAGACGAAACGGAAGGGAAAGGATGCCACTGCACATGGCACGTATACCGCGTATTGGTCTGGTGTAGGCGAGACCGAACGGGCGTGCCAGGGAGTCGGTTTCATTCTTTCAGAAAGAATGGGTCAATGTGTGAAAGAGTATGAATGTGTAAGCCCGAGACTGCTATGGATACGAATGAAAGTGGGCTTAAAGAAGCTGTTCCTGCTAGGGGTGTACGCCCCAGACATGTCTAAGCCCGCTTACATTCGAGAGCAGTTTTGGGACATGGTAAGGATGGTGTTGACAAAATGTAAGGAAAATGAAAATATTATTATGTTAGGAGACTTTAATGGAAGGGTTGGGGTGAAGAGGTCTGGTTATGAAAGGATATTGGGAACGTTTGGTGATGAAAGTATAAATGAGAATGGTGAAGACCTCCTCACCGTATGTGCGGAAAAGAATCTTTTTGTGACGAATACTTTTTTTCGTCATAAGAAGATTCACATGTATACATGGGAAAGAGGTGATGATAGAAGCGTGATAGATTTCGTAATTGTGGATGAAAGAATGAGGAGCGCAGTCGTAGATACAAGGGTTTACCGGGGGTCCAACGTAGGGACGGATCATTACTTGGTCTTATGTCGAATTAATGGTCTTTTCAAGCGTTGGCGGCATCGGACATCTGTGTCTACCACTGCGTTACAGCGTATAAGAATAGAGAAGTTACAAGATGAAGATGTGAAAGAGAAGTATAAATGTAGACTGAGAGAAAATATTAGATGTTTGAATGAGTTGTGTATGAATGATTTAGACTTGAAGACTGTGTGGGATAATATTAAGAAAGGTTTGGTGGATACCGCCACCGAAGTATGTGGTGTAAGTAAAAGAACAAATGAAAGGAAAAGTAATACGTTGTGGTGGGATGATGAGTACGGGTGGAAGTTGAATCAAAGAAGAAAGCATGGTTAGATTTACTAGCAACCAAAGCTGGTGATTCTTCTGGTATGAATGATGAGATTGAAAGAAAAAAGGCAGAATTTAGACGTCTAAATAAGAGAGTAAAAGAAGTTGTTGAAAGGAAAAAGAAAGAAAGAATGGATAAGAATGATAGAAGAATATCTGATAATTTCCAGGCTAACATAAAAATGTTCTGGAAACTCGTAAGAACTGCCAGGGGAAATACAAAACAGCCTATAATAAATGCTATAAGAGACGAGAATGGATGTATTCTGAATGATGAAGTTTCGAATTTAAACAGATGGAAGGAATACTTTGAAAGCGTGTTTATGAGTGAAGAGTCGTATGAATTAAATGAACTAGAAATTCCGAAAGAAGTGGAAAGGGGTATGGAGATAAGTGTAGATGAAATAATGAAAGCAATGAAAAGCATGAAAGCAGGTAAGGCAGCTGGATATGATAGAGTATCACTCGAGATGCTAAGGGCTGGAGAGGGAGTGGTGGCAGGCCTGCTGTACACCTTGTTTAATTTATGTTGGGAATTAAAACGGGTACCGGATGACTGGTGTAAAGCAGTTATAGTACCAATATATAAAGGAAAAGGGTCACAGCAGGACTGCAAAAACTACCGCGGTATCAGCTTGCTTAGTATTGTGGGTAAACTGTATGCTAAGGTGTTAATTGAAAGAGTTATGAAAGAAACTGATGGAAAAATTTGGGATGTGCAAGCGGCTTTTAGAAAGGGAATGGGGTGCACAGATCAAGTCTTTTCCATGCGCATGATTGCGGAGAAGTTTTTGGCCAAAAACCAGAAAGTTTTTTGTGCGTGCATGAACTTGGAAAAGGCTTATGACAGAGTGGACAGGAATGTGTTATGGCAAACACTGAACTCATATGGGTTGAGCGCTGGTTTGATACAGGCATTAGGGTCTCTTTATAGGGACTCTAGTGCTTGTGTCAGGATCAATGGGGTCTACTCGGACTGGTTTGGCATCCAAAAAGGTGTCAGACAGGGCTGTGTAGCTTCCCCTTGGCTGTTCAACCTATTTATGGACCGGTGTTTGCAAACTTTGAAAGATGAAGAATGTGGTTTAAGAATGGGCGAGTTAACCGTCAAATGCCTTTTGTATGCCGATGATCAAGTCATATTTGCGTCATCAGCGGCTGAGTTGCAAATGATGGTTACATTAATAAACTGGGAATTAAAAGAAAGGGGAATGAAAGTGAACGCGGAATGCTTCGGTGGTTTGGTCACGTAGAAAGAATGAATGATGAAAGAGGGACGAAGCAAATTTATATGGCAGATGTGAACGGCCGAGTCGGGAAGGGACGCCCTAGAAAAAAGTTTGTCGACCAAATTGGCGATATTTTGAAGTATAGAATAAGTAAAGTAGAATAGAATAAGTAAAGGAGGCGAAAGAGGTATGTCAGGATCGTGCCAAATGGAAGTCCGTAATCTCTGCCTACCCCTCTGGGTGACAGGCGTGAGTGTTTATGTATTATGTATGTATCTAAGTTTTTTTGCGTTAATTTTAGCGAAGCCGCAAATTCAATAATATTGTTATTGCGCAAATGCTGGAAAAAGTAGCGCGGTTGACGCACGCATGCACGCACGCACGCACGCACGCACGCACGCACGCACACACGCACGCACGCACGCACGCACTCAAGCACACACGAACGCACGCACGCACGCACGCACGCACTCACGCACGCAAGCACGCACGCACGCACGCACACACGCACACACGCACACACGCACACACATACACACTCACACACATACACATACACATACACATACACACACACATACACACACACATGCACACACACACATACACACATACACACACACACACACACACACATACACATAACACACACACACACACACACACACACACACATACAAACACACACACACCCATACACACATACACACACACACACACACACACACACACACACACACACACACACACACACACACACACACACACACACACACACATACACACATACACACATACACACACACATACACACACACATACACACACACACACACACACACACACACACACACACACATACACACACACACTTCATCCCATTCACAGAATAATAAAGGGGCACTCTTAATTTTCAGTCATCCATCTCACCATCAGGTTTTTCTTTAATGTTCGTGTTTTTTTTTTTGTTTAATCAAATTGCAAATTTTTATCTCGGATATTGTGATGTTTTCGATCGTTAAGAGCGTTTTGCCCACGGTTTTGCTAATGCACTAAGATAAGTTTTCGTATAAGTAACCATTTACTAGAGGTCTCCACTGTCGTGTTCGGATCTAAGAGTCTCGGAAATCAGTATAATTACAGCATGTGAGGCGTTCCAACTGATGATACAAATTAGTCCTCAGAGGTAACGACGCATAAGAAATCCTAGCCCACCTTATTTGAAGTGTGTTACAGATGTCTGTGGGCTACAGTAGCTTACTTATTTACCATTTTAATTACTTAAGTGTTGAGGTAACTTTATGAGCTTGCCATTAGGTATGCTGTAGTTTAGTGTGTTACTTTAGTTTCATAAAAAGAATACTTATGACACTGAAATATTTTACTTTTAAGGGTCTGTATTTTGAATTGCTATAAAGTTTTTGTGAAATCTGTTAAACTGATAAACCGGTACTACCTGTACTATTATGTATTCTATGCCGGTACGAACAAAACTCCTTTAATTTACTTGGTGTTCCTTGCATCACACATGCAGACATTTCTGGATAGATAATTTAAATTAGATACCAAATTAATGCCAATACCGAAAAATGTTAGTCTGCCTCTATTTAAAAAAAATATCTACTAACTACCATTGCTTTTGATGTATTGCGTAATAATGGAATGATTAAGACAATACGACTTTATAACATATTAAACAAAGGTTTCCTTTCTCTTTCAGTTCAATACCAAAATATATATCATGGATACGTCATTTGTCGTGGGTGATGTATTCAAACGAAGCCATGAGCATTCTGCAATGGGATGGTGTTCAGAATATAAGTAAGTCGTATCGTTTATTTTATACTTTTAATTTATTGCTATGATTTTTTGTTATTTTATGTATATGCAGATATAAATAAATTTTCTAGTAATTAATTACTTCTCAAATAGATAATAGTGACATCTATCGAAAACCATTTAATTTAAGGTTTCTAAGTTTAATTTTTAATCCATAAAAGTTTCCAAATCCAAAAAATCCAAAAAAAACGAACCTACTCGTTTTTTTATCTATAAATAAACTGATAAAAATTGCAATTGTTACAAAACTCTTATGATCCTTATAGTTTGAATAGTTTTTTTTTTAAATATAACATGTATTGGTGAGATCTTAGAATATGTAATATCATGATGTATTACGGTTTGGCGTAAATGGGTTTGTCTCTCGCCATTTAGAAGTAATATTGATTACCTTCAGATATAGTTCCGTGTATTGAAGCAATTTTTATTTCTAAACCCACAGCTAACAATAAGAAAGTTTGAGGCAAGCTGCCTTCTTCCAGTCATCAGTATCTTACCGTTAACTTCGCAGCCTATCAAAGTCCCCTGCTGATCATAGTTCTCCTGTTGATGTCTTCTGTACGTACCTAAGTACGTGCAGGTATCGGGCCTCGGGGTATACCCCATTACCCGGATATCCTCATACCCCATGACTATGGGGCAGTCACTAATTGCCTATCTTGGCGTGGTTATGCTGCATTATTATGTAGCCGGATAAGAAAATTTGCTTTCCGTAGTTCACCGACTACGGAAAGGGAGGTAATCTATAGAGGTTATCAAAGTCTAAGTTGGCCTTTCTGCGGCATTGTGGGTTGTTACTCAACTCTCTAATCACATATAGAGAGGAGTTCTCTTGGAAGAGGTCGCCCGTCCGGTGGCCGGGTGTGTAACGGCGCAAAGCCGTTCAGATGTTCATGTGGCCCGTTATCGGCACGGTCAAACATGCCGCGCGCTAACCGGGCCACGAAGTCGGTGATGGTCTCGACTTTCAGATCGGCCGCTATGACGTCATTCCGGACGTAACGACCTGCTCCGACAATCGTCCTTAATGACAGGTTCTGCTGAGCCTGTAATCGCCGCCTCTGGGTGTCACTCAGAAGCGCGTACCAGGCCGGAGCAGCGTAGGTGGTAATAGTCCGGATATACATCTTGTATATCCGGAGCTTGGTCTTTATGGGCAGCTTGGATGCCAGGACCGGACGAAGCATCGCCCGCGCACATCTGGCTTTGCGGACGACGAAGTCGACGTGCGCAGTCATGCGCAGCGCCCGGTCGATCCGGCACCCGAGGTATGTCACGGCCTTCTCGTACGCGATCTTCTGGCCGTCGAGAGTTAGTGGTGGTGGTAAGTTTCTGAGGCGGCGGGTGAGCAGAGCGGTCGTCTTACCAACGTTGACGACCATCCTCCACTCGTTCAGCCATGGTGGCAACAGGTCCAGCAGACGCTGCATTTTGGCAGTGGCTATATGGGCTCTTCTGGACGAGGTGAAATAGGCGCTATCGTCCGCATATAGCGCCAGCTCAACGTCGTCCTCCCATTCTTGCAGCCTGCCTGCCAATGTTGGAATATCATTCGTGTAAGCCGCGTACAGGACTGGAGACAGACAACTGCCCTGTGGGACGCCGGCACTGATGGTTCTTGTTGCGGACTCGGCGTCCTCTACGCAGACGTAGAACTTCCTGTCTTCCAGGAAAGACGCCATTAACCGCAACATAGCAGGGGGGACACTGGTCTGTTCGTGCAACTTGTATAGTAATCCTGAGTGCCACACCCGGTCGAACGCCTTCTCGATATCGAGGAAGACGCCCAACGATATGCGGCCACGATTGTACTCTGCCGCAAGCAGGTGCAGCACTCTAGTCAACTGTGTGACTGTAGAGTGACCCCTCCTGAATCCGTGCTGCTCCGCCCGAAGTTGGATGCACGGACGGAGACGTCTTAGCAGCAATCTTTCAAACAGTTTAGCTATAAATATATTATAAGGTAATAAATATAAATATAAGGTAATAGCGTAATCGGCCTGTAGCTGGCAGCTCTACGCCTGTCCTTCCCGGGTTTCGGCAAGACGATAATTTTGCCTTTTTTCCATTCCTCCGGGAAGTGGGATGTCCGCAATATCCCATTGTAGAGACGACCAATCTCTACTAGGACTTTGTAGGGCAGCTGTCGGAGTGCAGCGTTGGTAATCCCATCGTGCCCAGGCGCCTTCCTCGGTTGCAGGCGGGTTACTGTCCTCCGCAGTTTAGCGGGGGAGATGAACCACTCTCCTGCAAGAGGCGGCGCGGGCGACGACAGGAACTCCCGTATGCGACTCTCCTTTAAGGCATGAAGTTCCATGTACTCCGCACTTGCAGGATTCGGCATAAATTGCTCCTCGAAGTGCTCTCCTAGGATATCCGCTCTGCCCTTGGCATCATAGCAGCGTTCACCCGCGCTGTTAGTAAGCGGGCAAACGGGAGGTCTGGTTTTGGTTAGCTGTCGGTTCAGTCTATAGAGCGACGCATTTTGTTCTTCCGCCTTCCAAATGCGCCGCTCCCAGGCCTCTCCTCTGTGTGCCCGGACTGCCACCGACAGCTCCTCCGATAAGGTGTTGAGTTGTGCTTTTAGTCTTGGGCAGCGAGTACGCGCCCAGAGTCTCCTGAGTGCTCTTTTGCGTTTTATCATGACACTTATATCCCGCGGTAGATCGTCTCGCCTTCCTGTAATCGGGACGATCGTAGAAGCCGCGTGGAGGGCCTCCTGGATGTTTTTGGTAATTCTGGTTGCAGCGGCCTCTACGTCGTCCGCTGTGTTGATAAGTTGGTGAGCTGGAGGTCTCGCTTGCAGGTGTTGTGCATAGCGCCTCCAGTAAATACGTGTCTTAAATACTCTGGGCGGCGTAGTCACCGCCTTAGTGCCAAGGGTTATCAGAATCGGGAGGTGCTGTGAACTCAGGTCGTATAGCACCTCTACCACTACCGGGTAGTTGACGTTCCTAGAGAGCACGATGTCTAATACATCCGGATGTTGCTTCGGATCTGTTGGAACGTTGGTTGGTTCTTCGGGACCTAAAACGTCATAATTGTTCCTCTCTGAGTCTTCATATAGTGCAAGACCCGGCGGGGTGATCACTCTGGACCCCCACGCCGGGTGTTTGGCGTTTAGGTCCCCGGCGATTATGGTAGGTGTATCGCCTTCCATCACTGTCCGGATGTCTGAGGAGCAGAATGGAGTCCCTGGCGGGCGGTATGCTGCGTAGATCCTTAGTTCCTCGCCCGCCGCCTCCATTCTTATGCCGATAGAGCGTATAGTCTGGAAAGATGGTAATTCCAGCTCTTGGTGGACGATGTCCCTCCTCACAAGAACCGCCGTCCCTCTAAAGGCAGCCCCCTGGGGGGTGACCTCGTCCCTTCTGTATAGATGGTAATTGGGCAGCTTAATATGCGTCTTTGGGTTAAGTTTTGTCTCGCCCAGCAATATAATGTGCAAGTCCTGTTGCTGGGCGACTGTGCGGAGTTCATGAAGCTTCTGCTGTATTCCGCCCGGGTTCCAATAGAGGAGGCGCAGATTACTCTCCTCCGTAATGCCGGGCTAATAGATTTGCCAGCGCCTTCATAATCGCTGTTATTGGGTCAGTCCCGGCTCTGATATCGGCCAGGACTTGCGTGCCGACCTCGATGGCAATACCAACTAAGCGTTGTATCGCATCTGCTGTCTCGAGGCCGGTGGCGGGTGTTCTCCTGTATGAAGGCGTTGGCAATTGTCTCGGGTGCGGATGTTCCTGGTCCTGCCCTCTTGGCTTGTGGGCAGAGCGCGCTCTAGCTGTAGAGCGGGCTCTACGTTCTGGTAGGGCCCTTTCTGGCACTCTACCCACTTCTTTGGTCGACTCCCGAGTAATCTGCGCCTTTAAGGCTACTGGTGCTGATGGTGTCGGGGTAGAGGTTACAGCCTGAGGAGGCTGCGATTTTTTCCTACTCCTCTCCCGCCTCCTCTTCTTAGAGGGTTGCCGTTCTGTGGCAGGGTTGGCGGGAGGCTGTAGAGTCGCCCCGGTGGTTGCCCTTATCTCAGTGGGTTCCACCGTTTCTTTAGGTGTTACGGGTGGGGGGGGCTGATTGCCTGCCCTTCCCAGTGATGGTGGCCCACCCGTCTTGCTGGATGGTAACAGCTTTCGGGCGACTCTGGGGGATCCTTTTGGGGTCCTCCGGGAGTAGCCCCGGTAAGGTAATCCCCTGCCTCCCTAGCAGTCCTCCTCAGGACTGGGCAGCGGCGGTCGTTTGCCGTGTGGTTCTTTCCACAGTTGGCACATTTGGGTTCCTCATCCCTACCCCTAGGGCATAGGCTTGCAATGTGCTCCCCGGCACAGCGCACACATCTCACTGGCCTGAAGCAGTTTGCGGATGCATGTCCAAAGGCCTGGCAGCGGTGGCATTGAGCCGGTCCTGCTTTCCTTTGCCAGGCCTCTATGACGACCCCTCTCATAAAGAGGAGTTCGTCGGTGTTATATAAGTTCTGGAGCTGCTCCAGGCTCAGGTGATCTAGTTGGGCAAAGTAGATGCAGCCAGGTCTGCCTCTACGTGGTGGAATTGCCTTGACATATTTGATAGGGAAGCCTTTTGCCCTTATGGCCTCCTCTATTGCCTTGGTGTCCGTGCCCATAGGTAGACCCCGGATGCCCACTTTAGTGGGCTTGTCCTCCTCCGGGGTATAGCAGTACCAGGACAGTGTTGGTGTTTCCTTGGTCAGCTCCACCATATAGCGCTGCACCGTACGGAACTCGTTGGCGCTTTGTGGCGTGAACCGCACGCCTTTCCCGAACGGACGGGCATTTAAAGGGTGGCCCAACATTCTGTTGAGCTCCTTAAAATGCCTCGTCCAGTCCGGTAGGCACTCAGCTACTATAGGTGGATATCTCGTTTTATCCTGGTCGGCAGGCTTGTCTGTAGGCACTGCCGCCGGTTGTGGACGTGGTACTGCTGGTGCAGCTACCATATGGGCATAGCTGGTAGATGGTCGTTGACCATCATCCTGCGGAAGCCCGGACGGATTAGTAGTTGCCACCGGCGATGATCTGCCGGCGGATGCTGCCAGGGTTGCATAGGTAGTCGACCCCCCAGCTGTAGGATTCTTCGCCCCCCTGCTCGTACTGAGCCGAGTCTCGGCTACGTCGGTCTGGTGATATAGAGCGAGGGGGGGGTTGTGGTGGAGAAGGCGACTTCGGCGGTGATCTAAGCACCTTCTTCGTTGTCACCACCTGATGGTATTTTTCATCTTCAGATGAGGATGGAGCTTCGTCTGATGACGACTGGGAGCCTACCCGTTGCCTCTTCTCAAATAGTGAGGCTTCGGTCTCTGGCGGCGTGTGGCGTCTGGCCGTTTTCTTAGCCCGCTGTTGTTGGGGCGACGGTTCCTGCCTAACCGTGTGCTCAGACACGGCTGGCGTGAGCGCGACGCCCGTTGCGGGCTCCTTCCGCGGCGAGACGGGTTTCCGCATAGGGATATGGGAGAACGCTGGCACCGTTCTGGTGCGCTCCGGGTTCATCATATCCCTAATTGCAAGCGGTCTCTCTAACACCCCTTTCTTATCCGGCGGTATTTTGGGTTTGGGGGGTGGTTCCCCCCTTGTCCCTACCTGACATATTACTGCCCTAACACGTCAGTCGTAATCTAAAAAGGCCCTATCTAAATATGGAGATAAAAGTCTATGGCTTTCGACACTTGGGGCACTGCCTACCCCTTTTGTACACCAAAAGGTTTGGGGGAAGTGCAACGGTGGCACTTTATGTCGCGACTAGGCACAGGATGCTCGGAGCGCATAAAGTGCCCAAAAATCACCTAGGGGCCGGTGACCTCGACGCCTCACGGAATCACAGGACTCAACGTTCGGCGGAGTATGTCGCACCGGCGGTCATTTACAGCCACTGCTAACTGCAAACAACGCACACCTAGGAGATCCTTGATAGTTCTCCTGGGATTGCCTCATAGGGTATATTTGCCATAGTTGCCACGCTTAGCTTGCGGGTTGACAACAGCAGTTTTTTATTTTTCATTTACTATTAGAAGACATTGTTGTTTTGCACCTACGCTACAATATGGGGTACTATAATATGAAAAAAGGAGCAGGTTCTCGATTCGTTCTTCGATGATGTCCTCATTTTATTTATACTGAAGTTGGTTGTACAAAATGTTTAATTTTGCCACTTGTTTCTTTCAGCTTGCGTGGTGTCTGACAACAGCGTCGGTACGCCGTGTCTTAGCACCGGAGACGAGGTTCTGGGCAAATACGACTTTCAGAGCAGTCAGTTCTGGATCGATGTCATGGCCCTCGTTATCCTCTGCTTCGCTTTTCACCTCCTGGCTCTCGTGGCGTTGAGATATCGTACAAGAAGAAAATAGAGTACAGATGTATACAGATTTGTATCATGAGTCATAAACCGTGTATTTAAATTTGTAATAAAGATTATTTTATTGTAATAAAATAAGTACCTTAATAAATTTAACAAGTTATTTTCTAACCTAATCCTTAATTACATTTTATATGAAATTATTTAAAAAAAAATTGTGGTGGAGCCACGTGTTTAAGGCTGCCGAGAGTCTAGTTCCCCGGTCAAACCTCAAACCTATTACGCGAGATATTAACTAAAGTGGACTGTATATGCGATTGCTTCTACGCTTACGTAAAAGCGACTACTATAGCATGCGGTACAATGCACTCGCTCTTCCCTAAACTAAACTATTACTTGTCGAATCGATGAAAGGAATCCTGCTTGACTAGGAAAAAAACACAGATTGGAGCGGGTTAAACTATTAGCAAGCAGGTATAATTAAGGAATATTGACTCACCGGGGTTTCTTCTTCCTGTCGATCACTATAGCGACTTCTGGAACACTCCGGAGAGAGGCGGTGCGCGACGATATCTCACACGAGGTGAGGCGGGTTCCTGGAGCTCGACTGCTTCCAGGCCAAAGCGGTTTCCACTAGTGAGGTGTTTCCAAACGAGCGCGCGGGAAGAGGAGGTTGTAGTTCAACGACGACTGCGGCGGGAGAAGAGGCTCGCGCATCGGTCGCGCGTGTCTTATATATCCTCGGCTCGGGTGATTACGCGATGTTCTAGAATCGTCTTCTTTCCCCTCCCACCCCACCACCCCGATGTGTCGATAGGAGGGTACGAATGATATTGTTTGGAAAGGAATAATGATTCTACAAGTTCCTACCGTCAAATAAAAAACGCGAATGGTTTTCCGCGCAACCATCTCCCCCCGCCCTTGAAGGATTTCCTTCAAAAAAAAATAACTAAACAACTAGAGCTAAGATCGACTAACAAATAACTAACTAACGCTAAGATTACCTAAATTAAACTACAATTTCAGTCTAGAAAGCTAATTTAAATTATGGAAGAGGCAAGGGGCACAAACGGATAACAGGACGTAGGTAAGACCCAACCGTGGTCTTAACGCGAGCTATCCTAATTACTCCGTCGGAACCGGGAAAGACCTCCTCGACGATTCCTAACGGCCAGTGGAGAGGCGGCGTATTCTCCTTAGTGAGCACAACTACGGTTCCTACAGCTAAAGGCTCTGTCGCTGTGTTCCATTTTTGCCGAGACTGCAAAGTATGCAAGTATTCCATCCTCCATCGTTTCCAAAACGATTGCACTAACCGATCTAATAATTTGTGGCGTGTGGAAATGCTAAGTCTGTTCTCATCCATATCCGCGGCGGGCAGATACCTTAGAGGCGTTAAAGTCAAAAAATGTGCTGGAGTTAGAGCCAGCGGTTCCGAGGGGTCACTAGATAACGTCCGACAAAGTGGGCGGCTATTCATTACGCATTACATTTGAGCGAGCACCGTACTTAGCTCTTCGAAGGACAAAATTTGATCTCCTATTACTCGGTATAAGTGGCTCTTTAGACTTTTAATATTAGTCTCCCAATTGCCCCCAAAATGACTCGCGGCTGGGACGTTCAGAGACCACTCAATGCGGTTCTCGGCTAGAATGTGAGCGAACTCCGAATTATAATACTTGCTAGCTAAGAGCTCGTGTAGTTCCGATAGAATACGTTTTGCACCGACGTAGTTCGTACCGTTATCCGAATATAATTTACTTACAGGGCCTCTGCGCGATAGAAATCTTTTAAATGCACCCATAAAGCCTGCTGTGCTTAGATCACCAACGAGTTCTATATACACTGCTCGAGTAGTTAGACATACGAAAATGCAGACGTAAGCCTTTGTGGATCTTATACCACGCCCGCGAGTGAGCGTGACCTTAAACGGACCAGCAAAATCAGACCCGGTGTGCGTGAAGGGCTTTACCGATTGTATCACTCTACAAGATCTAAGTTCCGCCATTTCCGGAAATGACGGCTTGGGGCGTGCCCGAAAGCAAGCTATACATCTGTGCACCCGATTGCGTATTAAACTACGTGCAGAAAGAATCCAATAATTCTGACGCAAGATCGACATCAATAAATCGGGGCCAGCGTGCGAGTTCAATTTATGATGATAATCGACTAATAAGTTCATGATATGGTCTTTACGCGGTAAAACTATAGGGTGCCGTTGGTCGAAACTCAATTGCGAGTTGGACAAGCGTCCACCTACCCTTACAATCCCATCCTGTAAAATTGGCTTAAGGCGTTGAAAGGCGCGACTACAAGCTCTATTCGATTGTAATCTTGTAATTTCTTCAGAGAAGTGCGCACGTTGAAGTTCACGTAATACTAGCGACTCGGCATAGTTGCAATCGGATGCTAAGACATACGGACGTCGCGGTAAAAGCTTCGCGAATCGACAAACGTAAATTACGCTACGCAATAATTTCGACCAAGAGGACAAGCGGTTCGCCAGAGCAATGATTGGAGAAACCTCGCTCGAAACGTTCGCCACTAGAGCGTGTCTCTTCTCTTCCGGCGGTTGTGACACTGACGAAGGTTCGAAATCGGTTATTGGCCATTGTGAGGGATCCAAGTAAACCCAAGAAGGTCCATGGAACCAAAGCGGGTGGTCCATTATTTGCATCGGGGTGAGTCCCCGGGATAGACAATCGGCAGGGTTTTCCTTACCGGACACGTGATAAAAGTTCCGCGTTTCTAACTCGTCTTGGATCTTGGCCACTCGGTTCGCGACAAACGTATCCCAACGGTGGGGTGAAGAATGAACCCAACATAAGGCGACGGTGGAGTCGGAAAAGGCAAATATTCTTTCTATGTGAACTCTATCCCTACATGCGCCGATAACTGTGGTAATAAGCTTGGTGAGTACTAATATTGCGCAAAGCTCTAAGCGCGCCAGAGAGACAACCTTACGGGGGGAGACTCTCGACTTAGAACTAATGAGGCTAATCGAATTTCTACCATTATTCTGGACATGGAAATATACAACGCCCCCGTAAGCCTTCTCGCTGGCGTCTGCAAATCCAACAACCGTTATGCTGCTATTTCTATCGACATTTATATGACGCGGTATTTTAATTTCTCTTAGTAAAGGGAGTTCCTCTCTAAAGCGCTGCCACAATCGAACAATGCTGTCAGGCGGCGAGTCATCCCAATCGCATTCAAATAACCAAAGTTGTTTAATTAAAAGCTTAGCGTATAATACCACCGGAGCTACGAAACCCATGACGTCCCATAATCTAGCAACGCATGACAGTATTGTGCGCTTTGTGCATTTCTCTACGGGCGGATTTACCTTAAGGCTAAACACGTCGGACTCTGGTGACCAACACAGACCGAGCACCTTGTGTGTATCGGAATCGTCGAATTCCTTTATCGCCGAAAGACGGTGTGATAGTGGGATTGTATCTAAAACCGGACGCGAATTACTAGTCCACTTCACAAGATCGAATTGACCCGATTTCATGAGCCTTATAACCTCGGCGGTGGTTAGGGTGGCCTCCTCCACGCTATCGACCGAATACACAAAATCATACATATATAATCCGCTCTCAATTGCCCTCTTAGCTTTAGGATAAGAGGGACCTTCATCGTGAGCGAGCTGTCTCACCGTGCGTAACGCATGAAATGGGCTCGACTTTAAACCAAAACAAACGCGGTTAAATTCTAACACCATTAGAGGTTCCTTTGGGTGGAAACGATATAAAATGCGCTGGAATCTACGGTCGCATTCACGGACCCCTATGCAAAGAAACATTTGGCGAATATCGGCGGATAGTGCTATACTAAACAAACGAAAATTGACTATTATATCAAATAAACTGCCCTGTAAATTTTGCCCACTATAGAGGATATCGTTAAGCGACAGGTGAGTGCTAGTTTTAGCACTAGCGTCGAGCACTACACGTAATTTAGATGTAAGTTTGTCCTCTCTAATGACTCCGTGGTGTGGTATAAAATACGACGGTGTGTCTTCGTAGTTATCTAATTTCGAAGCCACAAGTGATATGTAACCTTCTCTTATATATTCGTTAATGACGCCGTCGTAAGCTTCCTTTAACTGGGGCGAAGCGAGCATCCTACGCTCCAAGCTGTAGAAACGTTTTTCCGCCATTTAACGCGAATCGCCGAGAGATAAAACATCTCCCTTAAAGGGTAGCGCTACACTATATCTACCGTCGCGATCACGAACGGTTGTGCGGACGTAAATTTCCTCGCATATCCTGTCATCTGAACTAGCTATGGGTGGGACGTTCACCTCCTCCATCTCCCAAAATTTGCGGACTAACGACTCGAGCGGTTCGACAGCCATACCACAATAAGAGGCTGCCGAAATACTATCTAGGATGGGGGCGGAGCCAAGGATCACATAGCCCAATACGGTTTCCAGTGCGTAAGGCGCGGTATGCGAGGAGTTGCCCCTGACCTTATTGTTTAACAAAAGATGAGGGAAAAGCGATGCCCCAATGAGCATGTCTATGTTTCCAGGAACGGCGTAAGTGTCGTCTGCTAGAGTCAAATTTTTAAATTCAATCATTGCCGAGGTGTCAACCGAAACGGTTGGCAACCGTTCAGTGACCCTATCTACTACTAGTGCATTTATATCAAAGTTAACGTTACGATCTATCCGAGAATAAAATTTTAAATTTATATATCCCTGTGTTGCTTTACTAGTACCTCCGATGCCTTTAACTACAGGACATGAAAGTGACCTATTTATTACTAAGCCTAAGCGCTGACAACATTGTCGTGTTATAAAGCTATTTTGGGCTCCGCTGTCCAGCAGTGCACGGACGCTTTGTTTGTTTCCACGCGAATCCCTAACCAAAATACGCGCCGTACCCAGTAACACGGTTGAAGGAGGTTGTGCTCCCATATTTGCCAATGAGCACAGAGCGACATCACCAGGTCGACCGCTAGAATCGTTGACCTTAGTAGGGGTGAATTCCTTATTCGCCTTACTTGACGCCGCTATGTTGCTATTTTCAAAATGTAATAGCG